GAGAGAGAGAGAGAGAGAGAGAGAGAGAGAGAGAGAGAGAGAGAGAGAGAGAGAGAGAGAGAGAGAGAGAGAGAGAGAGAGAGAGAGAGTGTTGGGGATTGCGGGATTTGGACCCGCAACCTGCCCCATTGTCTGCTGTATTTCAAGTTTCTGCTATTTTTGTCCTTGCCTGGATGGAACTGGGGACCAAACAAAGTATGAACAGTTGTTTTGTTTTCTTTTTTTTTTTTACTATTCTGGAGCAGATGAGTTTTGAGCCCAGGACCTGTGTGTACAGTCCCTAATTGCCTAGCATAGTGGTAGGATCTTTATGGCTGGTAGTTTTAGGCTTTTCTTTTGGTAGGCGGACACTGCAGGCCTAGGCAAGTAGCTGCTCCTCAAAAGTGACGAGTTGGGGCAAATCCGTCATTCAGAATTCATTCGTCATATTTTTGCTGCTTGGTGAGACTCTAGCGGGAGCTTCTTTTAGCACTGCTCAAGTAGAGAGAGAGGCAGCCATATCCAGTGAGAACTTGTTGTTCACTGGACGGTTTCTCGAGCCGAATGTTGCATATCGCACAGGGAGGCCGGGCCTTCAATTATCCATCACTTTTTCTGGTTTCATCAACCATTTTGTGTGTGACTATTCAATTCCGATTTTCTGTGTGTGTGAGTGAGATGAGGAGTGGAAGTGCTTGAGATTTTTTTTATTCGTAACATACATATATATATGAGGGTCCAGCCTCCTGATGAGTCGGTGAAACTCCGACGAAACAGTTTGTCACAGCCTTTCGTTTGTTGTCCTCTTCTCCCTCTCTGCCTACGGTTTACCGGCCAGCTCTGTTTAACTATATATATATATATAAATATCGTCAAACAGATACGATATATATATATATATATAGGGTTCAGCCTCCTGATGAGTCGGTGAAACTCCGACGAAACAGTTTGTCACAGCCCCTCGTTTGTTGTCCTCTTCTCCCTCTCTGCCTACGGTTTACCGGGCAGTTCTATTTGACGATACCTCCTGATGAGTTGGTGAAACTCTGACGAAATAGTTTGTCACAGCCCCTTGTTTGTTGTCCTCTTCTCCCTCTCTGCCTACGGTTTACTGGGCAAGCCTGTTTGTATGAATATATATATCGTATATATATATATATATATATATATATATATAGAGAGAGAGAGAGAGAGAGAGAGAGAGAGAGAGAGAGAGAGAGAGAGAGAGAGAGAGAGAGATTTCTAAACCCTTGAAATGCATTGGCTTGCAGGAGCGTCAAGATGCAATGTATGAGCTGGTTGAGAAGCCACTGGATCTAATGCTGGTGATTGGAGGTTTCAATTCTTCCAACACCAGCCACTTGCAAGAAATTGCCGAGTTTAAGGGAATTCCATCATATTGGGTGGATAGTGAAAAAAGGATTGGTCCTGGGAACAAGGTGCTACACCGCCTGATGGTAAGCTATAATCTTTTGCTATCATCCAAGTTCAATTTTAAATTCAAATCTCGATGCAATACCCAAGTTTGAGACAGGTACATGAACTGCAATACAAAGATGAGAAGTAGGACAGAGAAAAAGAAAGAGAGTAGTAGTAGTAGCAGTAAAGAAGAAGAAGAAGAAGAAGAAGAAGAAGACACTGGATGTCAACCCATTATCATCTTACCACCATCCCATCACCCTCATGTCTCCGCCTGTCTCATTATCTTTCAATAGGAAAAGAAATTTAGAGAATAGTATATAATACATAATTACACCAGTAATCAATGTGTGAGGATCTCCCTAGCATATGATCTCGACTCTCGAGAGCGGACTTACCCGGGATTCTCTCCCAAACTTCCCCTTTGGTAGCACGCTGCTAAGTCTTGTGTCTCATCATCATCCATTTGTGGAATGTATGAAGGACAGCACAACTCCTCCTCTCTCCTCCAGATACATCGCCACAATCTTCGGTGAAGTCTCCTCTCAGATGAGTCCTAAACGCGCATTCGTCATGCAGCGCTAGACTTTGAAGTGAAGATCATATTCTGCTGTAGCCAGAGGTAGGCCTTCTCCCTTGCTCTTGTTCCTCCTCTTGGTATTCCGTAGTCTTCTTTTTCTCCTGCATATGTAATGCGGATGCTAACCCTACCGTCTTCACCCGAATATAAAGCTCGGTCATTATAGCCGTATTTGGTGCAATTTTCAGTCCAGACACAGCTATAATGACCGGGCATTCTATTCGGGTGAAGACGGTAGCTACCATACTGTTGGGTCATTTGGGTGTGAAAAGGCCCTACTTCAGAGCCTGTTCTAGGAGTCCAGTCGTCAGTTCAGACAGACTTAACCATTCCAGATCTGACATTGGCACACCGAAATGCGGTGCCTTGAGTGCAGAATGTTGTCATGTCTGACTGGCACCCACCCTACCCCAACTCCTCTTGCTTTTCTCCCTTCGCATGTCCATTTCACCTCGAACAAGTCTGATCTCTCGGATCACACTTGTGGAGCATCTGGACCGTTGATTTTGGGATCCTTGATGCTCCTGTCTCGGACTTCGTTTTTCCATCTTTCATCTCTCCCTTTCTCCCATTTGTCTCCCATTCTCTCTCTCTCTCTCTCTCTCTCTCTCTCTCTCTCTCTCTCTCTCTCTCTCTCTCTCTCTCTCTCTCTCTCTCTCTCTCTCTCATTGTAGTGTAGATAGACCTTGGACTTTCCAAATAATGGACAGTCCATGTGCACACGGAACAATGACGTGAAAAACAAGTAGTTGGTACTCGGAATTTTCCACCCTACCCAAGGCTTAGTTGGAGCGAAGTGTGCGTGATTGCTAGCGTCCGTGTGGTGTTGTGTGTGGTGTGTGTTGAGTTTGGACACTACAGCCTTGCAGGGGTGGGGCGGATATCACGGCAGGTATGGTTCCACTTTTGAACACCGTCTCTTGTTGCATGTCCTGCATGTGCTGGTAAATGTCATTTGTGTTATGATCCTGGCTGTCTAGAAGTGCAATAAGTGCCAATAACTCAAAGAAAGACAAAGCTATTCAGTTCCAACTGAAAATGAAAGAGCTTGGAAAGAGAAATAGACAAGGGAAGAAGAAGGAGAAGATGTACACCAGCAAAGACCACTGTCAAATCCCTCTCTAGCTCGCCATCGCCTTTAACCTTCTTATCTCCTCCAACTTCTTCTTTTCAATAAATAATAATAATAACAAGGAAAGAATGCACCAGAAGGTCCAGATTCAATGTTCAAATCTCCCCCTTACTGCCAACAACTCATGAGGTCCGCCATAGCCATCATCCACACCTTCTTCCTCCTACTTGACTAAGTGGATGACTGTAGCGGACTAGCGGAGCCCTGCTCTGATTTCAAAAGGACAATGCAAAGACAATGTGTCTCTCCTACACTGGCCACCATGCCCGAAGTCTCCCTTGATGAATCCAGCCCCCTTTGGGGCCTTCCAGGTGCAGTGCCAACCAAGGAGATGAAGATGCAGACCACCATAGCCAGGTAAGCACCCCACCACTCTCCTCCTTCCACACCGTCTTCCTCCTCCTCCTCCTCCTACTTCCTGGAGTCTTTCTCCTTGGGCCTCTCCACCATAGCCAAGGTGGAGGGCCAAGCCCGACCTTCTTCCTCCCCAGCGCTGGAATACCAAGCGCTCGCTCCAGCAGCGTGACACCAAACGTGCACACTGCAAAATGAGGAAGAGCTCATTGCTCTTCTCAAAGATATATCGAGCAGGTGCCTCGTTGGGCGTTGACTTTCCAGGCCGCTCGGCCTCCCAAGCTACCGGTACCTACCTCCTTTCGGAGAGAGACATCATCGCAGGTCTGATATCCTTTAGACTCAGACTACTGGACCGGTACCACTAGACCTAAGCCTACCGGACTCTAAAATTCCCTCAGCCTCTAAAGGTAGTGACTTTTTGTCTTCTTCTGCCTACCTACCCACTACTCAAGTGTTTTCCATCCTACATGCCGTACACTGGCCTAGCCTACCCACCGCTACGTCCCCGCTGCAACCCACAAAGGCACGCCCACAGGTAAGTACTAGGCCTGAGGGCCTTCCCAGCATACAAGGACCCTGGTGGGTCACACACACATCCAATCAATCATGCAGCCAGACGAACACACGGACACTCAGCAAGCATGCACTGTTGCATACTGTAACGTGCAGACCAGAACAAGAACCAACCTTTCAATACAAAGTACAAGATAACACAGCGGAAGACTTAGATACCAGTGATCCGAACAATCAATGTTGTAATGCAGCCCTGAACATACATCATCATCATCGTTGCACAGTGTGAATGGGGCTTGGTGCTTCACACAGGAAGACAGCGCCAGCCCATACCATACACAGACGAGGAGGAAGGGAGTAGACGAAGAGGAGGGGGGAGATGGGAATGTCGTCAACACCAAGTCTTCGGCACAAGCCCAAATAGTCCCTTGTCGAACTGTCTGAATCCCAAATGTTAAGTCTGGATCCAATGTCGTCAAGTCTCAAGTCACAACTCTGTCTCTCTCTGTCGTAGTCTGAGAAGTCAGGTGGCGAGAGGGTGAGAAGAGAAGGTGGACTTGATGCAGGTACCACGAAGATGGAGCTGGAGCGATGATGCAGGTACCACGAAGATGGAGCTGTGTCCAGTACTAACCTGTGAAGTTGGCGCCTTGATGCAGGTACCACGAAGATGGAGCTGGAGCGATGGCGCCACAGGTAAGTAACACTGGCCTCCGCCAGTCTCTCT